GCTAGTTTGAGTACTATCTTACAAACACTTAAAGAACAGTACATTTCTTCTCAATCATAAAAGTGCCAAAAGAGCCAGGAAAAAGTGAGTGTTGGAGAAGATAGACTCTGGATATTCAAGAAATTTGGTCTTTTTCTATCCCTAAAATTAAAAAAAAAATTTGAGTCCCCAATAATCAGGCACAGAAATCTCATTGCAGACTAAAACTAAAATACTAATCACATAAAAAGCAGAAACAGTTCAATCTGGAAGTGTTGAACAGACCTGAGTTGGAATCTTGGCTCTACCATATGACACTTTTAAGACTTTTACCTCTTTGCATTTCAGTTTCTATATCTGCAACATGAGGATGGTAACACTAAAAGTGACAGGATTGGAGAGAATTAAAACAAAGAAGGCATGCAATATATGTGAAGTGCCTGGACGACAAAAGGCACTCAACAGAATGCCCATGGACTTTTCCTTCTTCCCTGACTCCTCTGGAAATTAAGTTTGACAGGCCAATAGCATTCTCTTTACTCTCAAAGCTACTGTGCTGAGAAAGAGAAACAACTAACTAAATGGAATACTAAATCTCCTTGATTTCAAATTTTAAAGTAAATAAATAATGAAATAAAAATGGTAAGAAACAGAAAGAATGATAGAATTATAAAACCCATATAGCAGTTATTAAGATATCATTAATCATTTCCATCTTCCTCTTAGCCACGATGATGAAGTTATATTTCATACACATTGAAGGGAGAAATTATCCAAACTTTCAAAAGCGAAATTAAGTGTTTCATAAAAACAAAAATTGCTGCCATTTTCCAGATGTTCTCTCAGAAAACTATTTCAAAATAAAAGTAAGGCCTTTTAGTCTTTCAGCTGAGATGACCTGTCTAGGTGACTATTACGTATCTAATGCTATGGCAGAAGGGGCATTCAAAAAAAAGGTGGAAACTGGGCTGGTGGCTCAAGCTGTAGAGTCCCTGCCAAGCAAGCATAAAGCCCTGAGTTCAAACCCCAGTACCAGAAAAAAAGGTGAAAATACTTATTAAAAGCATAGTAGGCGCCAGGTACTGTTAGGTTTATAACCTTGCATTAGTGTGATAGGCTGCCATAAAAAGTTTCCTAACTGGGTGGCTTACATAATGGAAACTTATTTTCTCACAGTTGTGGAGGCTGTAAGTCCAAGAACCAGGTGCCAGCAGGGCTGGTTTCCTCTGAATTTTCTCTCCTTGGTTTGCAGATGGTTGCCCTCTGAGTGCTTTCTCCATATGATTGCCTTGGTGTCTCTTTGTGTGTCCAAATTTTCTCTTCTTATGAAGATAACAGTCAAACTGGATTACAGCCTATTCTACTGGCCTTCTTTCAACTGAATTACCTCTTTTAAGTCCCTCTCTTGAAATATAGACACATTCTAAAATACTGAGGGACATAATTCAGCCCATAACAAAACATCATCTCATTTAACTATTGCTCTATTTTACAAATGAGTAGCCAGGCTTGGAAGCAATCAATAATGCATTAAATGTCACATAACTAATAAGTGGTGGGACCAAAATTTTACTGAAGGCCTCATGAACACCAAAGCCAATGTTATTTCTGCTATACACACTTCCTCAAAGGAATACAAATCTAGGAAAGGCAGAGTACTAACTGATGAAGCTGTAAATAGGGAGCTACAGATACAGAGGCACTTATTCAGTAGACTTGAATCATTAAATGGAAAGAATGGATTCAGATCTTTAACCATTTATAGAATACTTAGTAAATGTTAGGCTGGATTCTTCTACAAAAAAATCTATTCACATGATGAACTGCTGGTTGATATCAGGACCAGTTTGGGTATGTCTTGGCCCAAAGCCTACAAATAATCCTCCAATTAATATCAAACACAAGAGAGCTTTTTAGAATAAGTATCTTAGATAGGATTGCTATTACCTCTATATGCAGCAATGTATGCATAAAATCCCTCATCTCTATAACTTTTTTTACCTCACTGGTTTATGTGGCTATGTTAGTAGACTTTCAGTTCTGTAGGACATCAGGATGACAGCCCAGCGTCCTATGCTCTGTTTTTCTAGACTCCCAACTGTGTTTCAAAGAATGAATGTTAGCCTAGATTGCTCAGTCCTCTGGGTTGACCCTATATTGTTCTTCAAAATTTGTTAAAAGTTCCATCATATTTTGTGCTTTACTCTCTAACTAAATTTTGTGGATCAATATTCTGTGCTAAATTGTAATTATAAATAATATAATAATATAATTTAGTAAGTCAAATCATTTACAATCCTAGATTACGTTATGACTCCAAGACCAGTTGGGTATAAGCCCTAGGGATCCAAGCATAAGAAGCTTACTACATAAATACTCTTACATAAAAATTGTTGGATGAGGTCTACTACTCTCTCCTATATGCTTAAGAGTACAATGGAATATTCCTATAAGAATACAAATGTCACAAAGTTATAAGCATGATGCATACACACACATACACAGTTGTAGCACTTCTAGTATATTTTATATTACATAAAATATCCAATTCAATATAAATCAGTAAACAAAATAAAATTCACTGCCTGAGAAGTATCTGCTTTCCATAGAGTGAAAATATGTTGAGCATCTCTAATTCAAAACTCTAAAATCTGAAATGCTTCAAAATCTAAGCCTTTTTATAAGTGCTGATATGACACTGCAAGTGGAAAATTCCAAAGATGACCTCATTTGATAGGTGGCAGTCAAACTCAAGAGCACTAAAAATATTGTATAAAATTATCTTCAAGATATTATAGTGTATATAAAACATAAATGAATTTTGTGTTTAGACTGATTCCCTGTCCCTAAGATATCTTGTACATATGCAAAAATTCCAAAGCAAAAAACAAGAAAAATCCAAAGTCCAAAAACACTTCTGGCCCCATTTTGGGTAAGGAATACTTAACCTCTGCTAACATTAATATTTCCAAAAAAGTTCTAGAAGCCTAATGCACCAAATGCATTAGTTTTCTGCATTCTGTGAAGTTGTATTTTGAACTCCATCATCTGCAAGTTTACTGTGGTAAGGTAATTGGAAAAACTCAGAGTATTGTGGTATTTCTGAAGATAAAGCCCTCCATACAACTAAATAAAGGAAAAACGTCAACTAACTGGACTATTAGAAACAGCTATTATGATGAATTTAATTTTCTGGTTAAGTGAGAACCAATTAGATAGTCACTTTACTTCAATTACTGTTGAAATCTTTTCAGTGATTTGCTAGATTGATGTGCTCCTCCACATGCAGGGGAGAAAGCCCTTCGAAATCCAAACGCTTAGTCACCTTTCTGAATCCTTACTTAGCTTTGTGCTTTCTGCCAGACAGAGAAAGAAGCTGTCTCTCCAGCAGTGCGAAGGCAGTTAGAATAGGGAAGCTGTAGAGCTTTCTTGTGTAATAAAAATTTATTGACCTTTTACTATATGTACAGTTCTTACCACTCAATATAGGGGCTTTAACAACCTCTACAAGAGGTTTGGCTTGATGCAGAAATTCATTACTATGTTTTTTTGAGATAAATTCTATGAATATTAATTACATCATTTTCAAAAGAAAGTACAAAAGCACATTTCAAAATGTGATCTGATTTTTAATATTACTCATATTTTCCCCCAGATTATGAATATCAAACAGCATTCTTATGGATAATTGGAATTCAGTTGTGATTTTCCAAACTGTTTCAACTAAGATTGGGTGGAAAAGGTGAGAATAGGGTATCAGAATCTTCAGGGAAATGGGAGCACAGTTAGAGAAGTAACAAACATAGTTAAAAATAAGGCAGTGCTTTCTTCCAATATTTCTATGTATTTTTAGTTACAGAAATACAGTTTAGCATTTCCATTTCATATGTTTGCACTCAAGTTTCTAAAATGTAGGTGGAAAACTGGATTGATTGCTAATCTGTGGTAAAGGTAGGGTTCCTGTCTCCAATGGTATTGCCTCATAAATGGTACTGGTGCTAAGTGTCTTTCATTTCAATGGGAGCTTACTCCAGTTTTTCATCTTTTTTTATTATTTATTTATTTATTATTCATATGTGCATACAATGCTTGGGTCATTTCTCCCCCTTGCCCCCACCCCCTCCCTTAGCACCCACCCCCTCGATACCCGGCAGAAACTATTTTGCCCTTATCTCTAATTTTGTTGAAGAGAGTAACTCCAGTTTTTTAATATTTATCATATCATACTATGTATCCTTGAATATTGAAGGTATTTAAAAAGGCACTAAGAGATTAATTCTTTTATTATTCAACTGTAAAAAATTTGCATACTGATCAGAATTTCAAATGTATAATTCTTTTTTCTTTTAAAATCTGTATTATTATGAGAAATGAAGAACTGCAAGGCCATTGCTTTCGCTAAAATAAGAAAACGAAATATAGTTTAGAAATTCCAAGTAATATTAAAGTAAAGCCAGTGCTGGGAAAAAGAAAGAGGTTGAGAAATAGTTGTGTAACAGAATTTTTAAAGTACTCAGAAAACTAAGTAATTTTTTGTTGCTAGTCAAAAGTTCATATAGAAGGCATCTGAAGAATGTTTTGAATAGAATCAATAGCCCAAACATACTAAATTCAACAAATAAACATTGCAAAAAAAGTTAATGTTCATAGGGCATGGTATCTATGGAGTGAATTGCATAATTATCTAAATTTTGAGGGAAAAGTAAGCTTGTAAATCTCCAAACACAGTATTATACCTTTGCAACTCTGAGCACTTACATTTTTATTCTGACATTTTGTGTTTCCAGCTGTTACTAAAGTTGTAAACTTTCATAGGTAGAACTATTTATTATCCCGCCTCACCTTTACCTTCTGGTGCCTTGCAAACAAACATAAAATTAGGGACACGTGTCCAGAGTGAGAACTACTCTGATTCCTGAATTTATTTCCCCTCAAGTGGGGTTATTCAAAGACAACTAACACTTTTTTGACTTTCAGTTCCAGAACATTATTCCATGACAATCTTCACAGGATATGTCCTTTCCTACCTGCTGCTGGTTCACAGATCACTGATAAGGTTCAAATCAAACAGTTCTCACAGCTGAGAAAGACAGAAAGAATGCCTATGGTACAGGCCCCCTAATGCAGCGGCTTTAGATCCACGTGATGGATCTCCTAAAGGCTATGAAACACCTACCTCTAGCTTCAGAACATCATGCTGAAGTTTACGCTGAAATTCAAGGAAGTTTTTGATTGTCAGTTTCCCCTTGAGATCAGCTCCAAAAAAGTAGGTTGTAAGGGCTGAACACAGGCCGGACTTGAGTGTGTTACCCGTAGTAGGACGATCTCTGTGACGCATACCCATGCTGGTTTGGGAACGAATGATGCTCTGAACCTAAAATAGGATCAAATCCCCAACCAGAAAAAACATTATGAAAGAGAAAAAAACATAGAAAGAATAATAACTAGTATAGCTATACACCTACACTGTACAACAATTATCTCTTTTTTATTGTTATATTGAATTATCTCCTTTAATGCATATAATAATCTTATCAAGTAAGTCCCATTATTATCCTCATTTTATAGATGAGGAGACAAAGACACACAGAGTTAAATAACTTGCCATGGTCAAGTGACTATCAAGTAGCAGAGCCAACCTCTAACACAGATAGCCTGATCCCTTTCTAATTGGAATCATCTTAGAAAATGTCTCCAGAAAAGAGTAAGCATTTGCTTTTTAGGGCCATAAAAACTCACACAACTAGGACAATCATTAACTTCATAATAATATATTCCACATCTCAATAAGGTTAAAAAAATTCTATACTTTTCACTTCAGACTCTCCAGATGTGACAAGAGGCAACATCTATAGACAAGTTCTCGATACCTAAAACAGATGATACATTTACTAGAATGATACATGAAGTACAAGGTTGGCATGAAATAATACTGTAAGAAAATGCAAAAATCTGGTCAGTCCTTGAGAAAGGATAACTTTTGGGACTAGCAACAGTGGTTTACATATGTAAGCAAGCTTTCTTAGGCAAGTCTATGATTGCTACAGCTCTTTCACCAGCTCCTACAGTCGTTTTTCTCTTTTCACTAGCCAAGAAAACCCTAGCTATTCAGAGTAATTTTAAAAAGACATGTAAGAATAAACAATAAATATACACTATAAAACAATGCATATAGCTTTGTAGGTGATGAATTTTAAAGTGTCAAAATACTTAAAAATCTTAATATTTATAGCAATTGATTAACCTTAAATACCTTTTATTTATTATCTATGACTGTAAAACAGATTTGTTTACGAGGATTTAAGGGAACCTGGTTTTTTAAAATTGATGTTTTTTCATTATAAAATTAATTCCATCTATTACAATAAAAGGAAGAGATATAGAAATAAATAGGGAGTGGTAACCTTCCATAATTCTACCTTCAAGAAAACTGTTGATATATACTTTATAAATGTATATTATATATGTATATAAATAAAATTTTGATTATATACTTTCATACTTTTTGTTTAAATATATTCATGTATGTATGTACATTATATAAATGTGGATATATATACACACACTCACAGACATTATTTTCCATAAATGAAATTTTAGTCTGCAATGCATATTTTTCTCATAACAATGTGACTTTCTTTAATGATAACACATTTATACCTACTTAGTATTCCTTTTTCTTCTTCTCTTTTTTTTTGTGGTTTGTGGTTTGAACTCAGGACTTCGTGCTTGCTAGACAGATGTTCCGTCACTTAAGCCACACCTCCAAAGCTTCATATTCTTTTAATGGTTCCATAGTGTTCTACTGCATTTATTAGTGACTATTTAACTTGTTTCTACATTTTTGGTATTATAAACATGGTAGCAATGGACATTTTATTTTTGTCTTTTCTTTTTTTGGTGCCTATGGCCTCTCACCTAATAGGGAAGCTCTCTACAACTGAGCTACCTTCTAGCCCTAGTTGTTTTTTCTTGGCTGTATTTGGGGGTTGAACTCAGAACCTTATGCTTACTATGTAGATGCTCTACCATTTGAGCCATGTATCCAGCCAGCAATGAACATTTTAATTTATTCTTTCTTGGGTTCTTGTCCATTTATTTCCTTGGAGAAAATTTATAGGAGAAGTGGTAGATTACATTTAAAATATTTATATAATATTGCCAAACAGCTTTCCAGAAAGGTTGAACCAACTTAACACATCTATGAACAATTTAAAAATATGCCTATTTCCCCAGACTCATGCCAGCACTTGCCATTATCTTTAATTAGATAAATTAGATAGATTTAAAACATGATATTATGCTATTTTAACTTGCATTTCTTTTGTTTTTACTAACTGAAGCATCTTTACATATGTTTATTGGTTAATTCTATTTCTTCTTTTAAGTAGTGCTTTTGCCCATTTTTCTGTGGGGGTACCTCTTTTTTTGTTATTGATGTATACAAAGTATACTTGTTTTCCCCCTCAGTGCTAGGGATTGAACTCAGGGTTTTGTGCAGGCTAGGTAATCACTTTACCACTGAGTTATATCCCAGCCTCCATTTACATTTTGAGGATACTGTGCCAGAGATTGGCTGGCTATTTGCCCAGCTCATTTCCTCTTCTTCCTGGGCATCAGCCAGACTCAACTACACAACCTACTTTATGACTATGTATGGCCAGAGAACCAAGTACTAGGCAACAGGATGCCAGCGGAAGTCAGATATGCCATTTCAGGTCTTACCCATAAAACCCATCCAATTATAATTTTTCATGCTACATTGTCATAATATGTACAAAGCCCGGGTCCCCAAATCAGTGCTTGGAAAACTGTCTGCTGATCACCCATTTTAAACTATATGTGTGTGAAAAAAAACTCCTATATGTTAAGTAACTGAAATACTGAAGATATTTTATAAAAGGAATTTAAACCATGTATCTACAAAAGAATTTTATCTCATCAGTGATCCATTTCTTTAAACACAAAGTCCTTCCTTATATGTCCCTAACTTATTGGATAATCTTTCAAAACAACAGTGTGATGAAGAAGTAAAAAAGCTTTGAAATTCTTTTCAAATCTACAACTTACTAGTTATGTTCACTTAAGCAAGGTACTCAACCCATTTCTTAGTTTGTAAAACACGGACAATAATTCTTGAATTACGGGCTTGTTGTCAGGATGAGAGATAATGGATGCCAATATTCCTAAAGTAGAGTTTTCTTAAAAAGAGTGTTCAATAAATGATAGCCAGTTACCATTGTGATTATGTACTTAATCATAATATACTGATTTAAACATAAATCATTGCTTTTAGACTTAAAAGAAGTAAAACTAATATTACTTTATAAAATACTTTATAAAATCCAAGGCACATCAAAGTGTGCTTTAAATATTAATGTAAAGGAATTCACCAGCACAACTTGCCTGTTCAAACTCCTCCATGTCTACTTCTCCATCTCCATTCAAGTCAAACATCTTGAAGGCAATTTCAAAATTTCTTTGAGGAGCTGTAAGTAAAAAGAGAGGCAGAGAGAGAGGAAAAAGAAAAACATTTAGAAGAGATCAGTCAAAAATAAGTGGTTTAACAATAAAATATAATAATCAGAAAATGACAATTTATTTATTTGTTTTTGTTGTTTATACATTTATTCATATGTGTATACATTGTTTGGGCCACCTCTCCCCAACCCCCACTTCCAGGCAGAACCTGTTCTGCCTCTTCTCCAATTTTGTTGAAGAGAAAACAGAAGAGATAATATGAAAGACATAGCATTTTTGCTAGTTTGAGATAAGGATAGCTATACACAGAGATCCCTAGCATTGCTTCCATGCACATGTGTGTAACAACTGAATTGATTCATCTCTACCAGACCTCTTTACTACCTCCCCGTCACCTTCCCATAGTGGCCTCTGTCAGTTTAAGATTACTTGATTAGCTCCTCTACAGTAGGCACATCAACCACTTTCAAGTTTTAGGTTTCATTCCCTTTCCCTATTCCTCCTGTACACATTCTCCCCTTAATGTGTGACCTATGTCAATAATATTACTGCATTTGTTTTAGGCCTAAAGTCTGCATATGAGGGAGAACATACGATTTTTGGCCTTCTGAGCCTGGTTAACTTCACTTAAGATTATGTTCTCCAGTTCCATCTACTTACTTGAGAATGACAAAATTTCATTCTTCTTTGTGGCTGAGTAAAATTCCATTGTGTATAAATACCACATTTTCTTAATCCATTTGTTGGTAGTGGGGCATCTTGG